AAAGGGATACCAATTATCCCAGAAAATATTTAACCAATGAAATACGAGCTTTGTTGCTTCGAGAACTATGATTAGCGCTCTAAAGATTAGGCCGCGATAGTGTTGAACATGAAGACGGCATGATATAATAACTGTTGTAACACACAGCATGTATTCCACACAGCTACCTGAAAACATTGTCAGTGGAATATTTCAGGAATTTAGAAACGTAGGAGCTGCTTATGATGCCCTTGATTCGCCAGTTATGATTATTCCTTACTATATCCTGCTAATTAGGGAGATTTTAGATGCCCGTTGTTTGATTCCAATCTGACTGAATAGTTATTGATAATTATGATGATAAGCAGATTGGAGAGGGAAAATGTGACTGTTCAGAATATTATTTGTTACAAGCGTTGACATAACTCGAAATAGATAATGAATAGTGAGACATGGAAACAAGCGTTGAATAGATTAATGCATACAGACACACAGAAGGACAAATGAGATGAATAATTATCGAATTAGAGGACATGGACACAAGAGATATAGGTTTTGGATGTCATAATTTCTTCTGAAAAGAATAGATTTGTTAGGAAAACAAAAATTATTCAATAGCCATTTGCTGTCTGAGTTATTTAAATTTATCCAAAAGCTGAGATCAGTCACGTGGGTGTGTAATAACATAGATGCTATCACAAGATATCCTCTGTTCGGGGAATCGAAGTTGGTTTACGTGGACAGCAATGGTGACAAAGAAAGGTTTTAGATTATAGTACTTATTACGGAAAAACTGAGGTTTGGTATGGGTCGAGGAAAGAAGAAACTTGTAGGCCTGAGATTAAGTCATAGTCGTTGGAGCATAATACCCATGTAATAAGCAGTCAAAATGGTTATACTCATCGTAGGACACCAAAAATTAAGGGGTGATGGAAGCAGAGCCATATGTAGAATGTTCGACTTGAGTACTTAGTAGGTAGTCTGAATGTCAGGATTTCGTGAGCCAATAGTCGGTACAGTTAGAGAGCAGACATTGCTAACACTACTTTTCAGTTGCGCTTTCCTTTTATTGTTCGATAGTATACTACTTACAAAGGATAAGTAGTTTTAGTCATTGCAAATTATTTCTTCAGACTGTAAACGGTGCAGAGAGATACTTAGTTTTAACGAGTTGCTTACCTAATTCGGATATATCCCTATTACACCGTCCATTTCTCCTCATTTATATTCCCTATGTTCTACTTTTCAGAACTTTGTCTACTGAGCATCTCGACTATTTTTAGAGTGTCAAATCCAATCTCTTTTCACTAGTTTATGACATTGTCTCTTAACATCAGTGTGCAAAAACCCAGCCTTCAACATACGCGCTGTAACAAATTCAATTATGGTTAGCAATTACGTTTTCTCCTATTTTACTGAAAACCTAAGAATGCTGAAAAATAATTTTGAAAGCTGTTTCGGAAAAAATTAATATACTTGTTTGCTAAAGTTCAATCCACACAAGTGGCTAGAAAAATTCACTAATTGATTTGTTAATAACTGATCCCATCCTTCGAAGGTACATAGTAAGGCATTTATTATTTCTAAGATACCATGTCATATTTTGTTGATTGGAAAAATGTAGCTACATTTCTAGGTCATAAAATATTGTTCTTGCCTCAGGGACCAGAATATCTAGCACATAATTTATGTGGGATTAAAAAACAACGCAGACAATTATTGTTGTATTACGAGAAACAAATACAATGAAGTATTTAAAGAGATTATTTAATTTCATTGTCACATTAAGCACCAAAACCAAAAAAGGCTTAAAAAAGAAGTATCGTTTTATTGTACAATGGTGTAACGGTAAAACCCTTAGTTATGTTGTTCAGCAATCGATTCTTATCGAATTCAATCGATCTCATTAACCTATCTTCTTTGAGATTGGTTAATGCAGGAGAATGAGTTTGATTGTAATTATATATACATATATACGTCGATTAAGAATACCAGTAAGCAAGAGATACATGTCAAACGAGGATTCATTACAACATTGGACACTTTAACATGTTTAAGTTACTTCTGATCACCACTGACACTCAATATGAAGTCAAACAATGATCTTATGGAATGAATACCAAGCTGCTTTTAGGGTGTAATAAGATTATAAATATAAAGAGGCTTCATTGAATTAAGATTAGAACAATGAAGTAACATACAATTCAACAGGATTCAATTATAATGAATTGACCATACTTGTTTTTTTAAACATGTTTTAATTAATTTTATAACTAATGATGATGACCTTAGTTACATGTTTTGCTAAACATCGACTCCCATTTGAACTAGTTACCTTGGTTACTCTCTAGACTTTGTCATAATTTTCATATTTACCATAGTCCCATAGGTGAGTAGTTAAGTAGAAAAAATAAACGTATTTAACATTAAATATTCTTTCCATTTTGATGGAGTTTTGTTCCCTGAGTTGGATAGTTTGGTCGTAGAACTTTCATCGTTCTTCTGAACAACATCATCAGCACAAACTTCAGATAGAAGTGAAGTTTTCGAATTTCTCCACATGTGGTTCACAGCTTTTCCTGTAGACCTCGGTGCTCATCGAAATCATCTACCTGAGCTACAAATCTTCTCCACTATATTCTTTCGAATATCATTTAATTTAATGTTGAACGTTATCCGCTTATAGACTCATTTAGTCATGTACATCAAGAAACAAAATGGTACTATTCAGTCATACTCTGATAATTTAAGAAAATATCTATGAATAACAATTATTCAATGTTCGCTGAATTTTGATAATGAAGATCATATCATCAGTAATGTATCAAGATTTCTTTTCATAGTCATCAACATTATCATTGTAGGTTGTAAATCAACAATATTGTTGTCATTTTAAGAATAGAATGTTTAGTATTATTTGTAAATCACAACTATTTATAACCTTGCTGATTGGTTTACAATTTTCCCTAATTGAAAGTGATAAACTTCAGAGAAAAAACAGTTGAGCACATTGAGCAACAGTGTTATTGAGTTAAAAATTTACTTATCTTATAGAACACTAGTCATGCATAGTAATTATTAATAAGGTGGAATTCACATAATATATAAACATATTTCCTAAGCCTGTAATAACTATTTCAGAACAAGCTAAAATAATGCTTTATTTCGGTTATATTTGGCATGTGGTTAGCAGTAGAATCTAGGACGCGGATTACATCTTAATCAGAACAAGTCAGCTGAATTATACGTGCAGCCTAATGTTGATGTTTATGCTGATACACAAACATACCGCTAATGTAATACATAAACTTGTAACATAACACTTTATTGAGGCAATCCATTCAGGATGCACATATAGCAGTTCAGAATACAAACTCTTAATAACAGCGTTTTAGATTGTCTAAGTGATTTTATGAAATTTGCAAAAAATTCCATATATAATATATCTATCTACGTAGTTAATGTTAGTCAAAAGTGAGATCAATCATTACATCTCTCTTGACTTCGAAATTCAATAATATACCGTGTTTTACTCCGTGAATTTAGCTATCCTTTTTGAGATGCATTCCTTTTCAGCATAATTTTCTTTCCAATTCCTTTGCTGTTCTCTGTGTTCTGCTAATGTAATTACTTAGATGGTGGATATGTTTAAGTTATATGATATTAATGACTAAGTGATTTGAACCTGATACTGTTAAGAATAAAACTATGGTAATCAAATGTTCTATCGAGCGAACTACGTTAAAAGATAGATTTTGAACTAATAGAGATATCATTCCATTTTCTTTCGCTTTTTTTTTGAAGCAAAAAATAGTGCAAACATGATGATAAGCTACTTAACAAGCCATATTAGTTGTCACTTTAATGACCTTTCAGTTAAATAGATAACTATCAGAAATAACTCGCTGTAGTAGAGAACAAACCAGCTACCATCTGAAGAGGAAATTAGGAAAAGACGTTAGGAGTGATAGGGCATAAATTGGAGAAATAATCAAACTACGTGACAAAACATGGAATCCTGATGGAAAATGGAAAAGAGGAAGACCCAAGAACACATTTCACTGGGAATTGGAGGCAGAAAGAAAAAGAAAAAAATAGCACTTGAGAACAACTGAAAAAAAAAGCCCAGGACAAAGTTGATTGGAGAATCTTAGTTGTCGACCTGTTTCACGATGGGTAAAAAGTATAATTAAGTAAGCTAACAGAAATGACATTTTCTATTTCATCAGCTAATTTTGATAAATACGTATTGCACAAAATACTTAATGAACACTTATATTCATTAATGAAATGTATACAATGATTGTTAATTATGCTGTCTGAAATACTTTAGGCTGCCAGACTGATTTATAGACACAAGAGTGAAGGCAGAAATTAAACAAAAGCTCAATTATTATTTGTTCTGTAAATTATTGATCTCATCACTAAACTGAAAATTTGAACCCAACTCCGACTACTTGAATTCAACCAGTCGGTTAGTATCACTAGCTGACACACATAAAACCTGTAGAGTAAAACTGGATGTAAATAAATCTATACTTGGTTAGGGAGTTAGTTTAGAGTAGAATCAAAAATGAGCATTTTTATTGAAGTCCAGTTCAGTGGTCTGGAGGTTAAGTTATGGCGTGCAAGACTGAAGGTCCTGGGTTCGATACCTCGTCGCGGGGTTATGGGTGAGCACTGCTGAAAAGTCCCACAATAGGATGAAACAACCGTCCACTGCTTCTAGGTTATCAATGGTTGCCTAACTTAGGTTGATTCGTAATCCTAATAATATTTTCGTTTAACTGGTGGAGCATCGTATAAACTACTTTGAAGATGTCTCACATTTGAACATAGTTTTCGTTCAACTTTGTTATTATTATTATTATTATTCAGTACTGTAAAAGTATTTAATACAATATCTTATTCTAATTTTATCTTCACATCAAATCATAATTTGACTCATTCAAACATTGTATTCTTCATTATCTCATCAGTTAATAGTGAATAACAAATTTGAAATAATGAAAAACCCATTGTATAACATAGAGTCTAATTAAAACATACAATTTAATACAATTTTCAATATAAGATAACTATTACATCCATAAAAGTTCAATAGGATGGAATAAAACTCACTATAACAAACAAAAAAGTACTATAAACCAAAAAAAAAACTTTTTTTTAAAGAAAAAGATTAGGAAGTTGAACTTCACATAATGAGCATTACTTCTTCACTGAATAGTTTCAAATATCAGACTACATTCACATTTTACAAGCATCATCACATTCTTGTGATAAAACAGTAGCGAATTCTGGTACATCTTTAGGATTAATTTTCAAAACATCAATAATTTGCTTATAATCAGGATGATTTACAACTTCTTTCTGTTCAAAATGATAGAGAACTTTACCACCTTGTTATAATAAAAGAGAAAACGAAGTAAACGTATACTATATACTTTGTATAGATCAAATGATAATTATTTTACAGAAATATATAATTCAAAAAACATTGTTGTAAGCCTGATTTATGATAGAGTTGAACATGTAGCATACACGTTCACATGGAGATAATTATTATTCACCAATAACCAAACAGATATTTGATGATTAACATTTCCGAAGGTTGTTTAGTTCATGAAAACAAAACAGTTGTCCTACTTCATAACGGTATGTATTGAAATTCCTGAGCTAAATTGTAAACCTATCCACCCCGAATCAATTGATAGGAAAGTGTAAAGAATATGCTAAATTGTAGTCTATCTAAACATATTAAATTCTCGATATAGTAGTATTGCTATATGACCAAACCATTATATTGTGTCTAACCAAAAAATCAATAATTCATTGATTGCATTGTATAAAGAAATACAAGCTACTTATTACGAGTCATCTAGATATTGGGAATTAAAAGGTAAAGATGTTGTATAGGATAAATGGGGAATGTGATCACAATTTCAGTGAATTCAGGAATATCATATTTATATGGTATGTATCTGTTTATTTATCCCCTTTCATTTAGAGTGTGTCCTATTTATATAAACAGATAAACAACATACAAATAACTCAATTTTAGGATTGTTAAGTAAGTCAATCACATGAATCAAACAGTTGAATCAGTAATTACTCTAATTTTTTAAGGTCACATTTGGACCATATGACAAATACCACAATATATAAGTGTAACTAGGGTTAAGATAATCACAAGCCCTATGTGATTAACAAATGTATAGATTGATCATAGGCAATAAGTAGTTAAATAAATCCATCTAATACACACATAATATATGAAATATTTTCTTTTCTATGGTAAAACAACAGTTCGCAATTTCTATGAGTATATAGCACAAATAAATCCATATGGCCTGTGGTAATGAGACAATTTTTTATTCTTTCTATACGATGTTAATTTTCTCGCTCCTTTATTACTTGATTAACTTGAATCTTCATTTAACTGACATTTGTTAATTTTCATGAGCATTTACATTTATTGTTCAATTATATATTTATCAGTATGAGGTTGTTAAGCTTTTTGATGAGATCATGAATCGATTGAAAACTCGAAAGCACTGAATTGTTGTTTCATCCTACTATGGGATGACTCAGCAGTGCGCATCCACGATCCCATATGCGGGATTCGAACTCAGGACTTTCGGTCTCGTGCGCGAACCCTTAAACTCTAGACCACTGATCCGGCGTCCGACGGTGTTAATGTCTAACTTCAATCAATCCGCGAATTCGCGCGACCATCTTCCAATGTCTAATTTAAAAGTGTAGGGATTTTGGTTGATCATTTTAAAATTCCCAATATTTCAATATAATTGTGTTAGTTATGTAGTTAGAATTGGTCAACAGGAAACCTTGGATATAAGGTTCCAGCAATTTGGTGCTCGTTAACAATGTACACCTAGAATCCTGAAGGGACTGATGCTCTTTTTGAAATAAGGACTTGTGTTATCCAGTTTTACAGTTTGAGGCGTTACTACTGAGCTATTCGGGCAGCGGAATGACCTAATGTAGGAATAAACTATGGGTTTTTACTTGAAACGTGACATTAGAAATAGAGTGAATGTACTGTTCACAATCTATCCAGAGAACACCAATAACAACAACGTACATAAAAAAATAGAAATAAACATGATTAAATCACTATTACAAACCTTTTTCAACCACAAGAAGTCCACCAGTCTGCCAACCATCGCCAGTCATATTACCAGGTATATTAGCAGCCTAATAAAAATAATATAAAAGATAACGATCACTATTATATTTAGTATTATCAATGACTGTAGTGTTTATTAGTAGCTAGAAACATGGCTTAATATTAATTTCTTTATATTTTTAATTAAACGTATATTCGGTAAAGGGTTTCGTGGACATTGTAGAATCTGCACAGTTTACATCCATGCACTGATCTTACCTAGACCACCATTAAAAATGAGGAAGCATTTGACAGCTGTTTCATTCTGGTGAAAGACACCTCAGTGATCAAGATGTTAAGCGTTTGCATCGGAGATCGGAAGTCGTGGAGTTTATTCCCTGGGGCAAGGCCATGGATACACTGTTGAGGAGCCCTGAACGAAAACCGTCCAGTGTATCCTGGTCTTAAGTAGCAGTATAGCTAAGATCGGTTCTTGACTAAAACTACGAACGCATATTCAATCTTCCTTTATGAAGAACTGAGAATAATACTATTTATGTCAATTGATGAGGCACAAATATGCATTGATTTAAGCTGCCTCATAGGTTTGACTATTATCCAACAGGGTATCGCTGAAAAAAGGTAGTCATAATTTTAACGGTTTATAAAATTTACTACGATTCTGTCGTTGGATTGTAGGAACTCTTCAATCAAACACATTTAGGAAAACAGATTGTTTGGCTTCTTACATATTCAACATCACTAGTGAATGTTAGAAACTTCGACGATCCATTCAGCATAAATTACTCATTTACATGCTTACACTTGTTAAATCTCGTGAAGGAGCATAGCCCGTCCACCAGCACTCTCCATCCAACACTGTCCCAAGAAATACTTTCCAGTCGCTATTCATCCTTTTCTTGTCTGCTTCTAATTCTCGGCACAGTATGTTCAATGGTCTACCTCTATTCCTTTTCCCTTCAGGATTCCAAGTTAGCGCTTGCCTCACGATGCAGTTTGACGATTTCCACGATATGTGTCCTATCCACCTCCAAAGTCTTTTCCTGATTTCCTCTCCAGTTAGAAGCTGGTTTTTTCTCTGTCTCAGTGCGTTATTACTGATGGCTTCTGGTAAACGGACACTGAGTATCTTGCGTAGATAATTGTTTATAAATACTTGTACTAATTTGATCATGGTTGTGGTAGTTCTCCACGTTTCAGCTCCGTACAGTAGAACTATCTCGACTCTCCTATTGAGGATTATGATTTCGATTTTTGATGACAGTTGCTCTGAGTTCCATATGTTCTTCAATTGTAGGAATGTGGCCTTTGCTTTGCTAATCCTCGCCTTTACGTTGGCATTGGATCCTTCATGTTCATCGATGATGCTGTCGAGGTACCTAAGTATAATAACTGGCGATCGAGAATAGTTAAAAAGATACTATGACGAGAAACCTGGTGATGGCCATCGTTCAAAAAGAAGACAGTCAATAACATATAGTAAAATGTGACAAGAAAACATGGTATAAAACTCGAGAAGCGATGAACGTTCACGATTCAAAAGTTAGGCTGGATGAATCTGAACTATCGTGATCATTTTCTGAAGGATATTATCTCAAGTCCTCCGAAGTATCCATTTTCCCTAAATGTACCACGCAAGACGTTTAGCTCTTCTTCAACTATATCTGTAGAACATATAGTACATATTCGATAAATAAGAGTTTTGATCAGGTTTCTTCTTTACAGTAAAGATACAAGGCTAAGGAAATATGTATATTACCCTGTCCAGGTAGTTTTCCTATTTAAATGCCTTCTTATTGACCCATCAATTCTTTTTGTTAATAGAACGTCCAAAAGGCTACTCTAGTGAAGTTAGGGTAAATTCAGAGGCTGAATAATTTTTTTTAAATACAAAGCTTAGATTTTATGATATGTGTTCCAACAGTTTCTGTTGTATGCAAGAGTCCGGTTTTGAACATTGAGTTTCTGGTAGACTTGATTTGATTAGTCGACAGACATTAATATACGCAAAAGGTAAATTACTAACGGAATTGATTGTTCTCGATGATATGATGAAGTAAGAATTAGGTCTCATATTTGGTCGTTAATTCCAGTGAACATTGAATGACTGGTGGGTGTAGGCATAACACTAAGTACGATGGCAGAACAAGCACTATTAGAATGAATCCCCGTTAACAGCCGACTATGTGCTGTTCGGCTAAATGGCTCCGTAAGAACTCGGAAAGATAGGGACACACGTCGTCGCCTTTCCGTCGTTTCTTCCTACGCTCCCGCTGACTGCAGCTCGGATGAAATGAAATATGACTTACAGAAAGCTCTCTGAACTTCTTCAGAAAGTTAAACACTCATACATAGTACTCGTATCAGGTGAATTTAATTTCCAAGTAGGTAGCTTAAACCAAACAGAAAGACATTTAGGCTTGTATTTTAGTATTCTAGCTCAGCGAACAGATAATGGTGAGCGTCTGCTACAATAGTGCTCAAATAATCGTGTATTTTTAACAAGCACTGGTTTTAGGCATAAGAAGAGATATCGTCTAACATAGTGACCCCCTGCACCAAACCAACGATGGACTCAAATAGGCCATATTACCACCATTCATCGTTGAAGAGGCTCGATAGAAGACTGCCGATCATTCTGAAGTACATGGTTAGACTCTGATTATGCTCTAATATGAGCACGCATTTATTTGCGCCTCTCTGGACGCAGAAAATCCATATTTAAAAAACCCATTAGAGTTGAATTGTGTCAAGAAAGCCAAAAGTAAATTCCAGGAACAACTGACGTCACACTTAGACGGTTCTAAAAACGAGGCCGGCCCAGATGTTGCTTGGAAAGATATACAAACAGCTGTGGAAAGAGCAGCGACATCCATTAGTGATCTAAACCAAAGGGTTACGAATAACAAATCGATTTTTACTAAGTCTCTTGTACTGATAGATTCTCGTAAACTCATTCCATCAGGCTCTGAACACGGTGAAGAGTGAAAACAAATCAGATCTAAGTTAACCAAAAGTCTAAGGAACAACTGTGAGCAATGGTGGGCGACGAAAGCAAAAGAGACGGAAAAGGCAACGACTGTAGTACATAAACCTTGTGAAGGCTCTTTACTCGAACACTACCAGTCGAGTGAGAGCTTATGGCAAACTTTCATCTGCTTTTGCAACCTCAAGTGGTGTCCGTTAATGCTGTCCACTTTTGTTTAGCTTCAACATAGACCTACTGATGGAAATAACGTTCTCGTCGACTGAATTTTCGGGCATTGATCTCCTACCAGGAGGTCCACTTATCGACTTAAAATACGCAGATGATATAGTCCTGTTTGGTGAAGACTGGTAAAATACAGAGTGTTTTGATAACACTGAGCAACAATCCCAGGGTGTTTGGAATGCGTTTCTCCCCATCTAAATGCAAGTCAACACCTAAGCTAAGGATAGGGAGTGAAGTAGTCAAACGCGTTGACAACTTCACTTACCTTGGAAGTCTGATCAGCCCTAATGGGTTGGTGTCTGACGAAATCTCAGCACAGTTTCGAAAGGTTCGTTTGGTTTTTGCAAACTTACGTCACCAGTGGCGAAGGCGAGATATCCATCTATCAATCAAGGGACGAGTATACTGCGCGGCAGTCCGTTCTGTTCTACTTTACATCTGCGAAACGTGGCCATTAACAGTAGATACTCGTAAGCTACTAGTATTTGACCACAGATGCCTTAGAAATATTGCCAACATCTGCTGGGATTACCGGGTAATAGTGGGGTTAGACACAGGGTATTAGGGAATGATGGTAAATCAGTTGATGAGGTCGTAAATCTTCACCAACTGAGATGGTTGGGCCACGTGTTGCTTACGCCTGAACACCGATTACCACGACGCGCAATGCTGACTAGTGTGGGGAATGGTTGTAAGAAAGTTAGGGGCGGCCAAACCAAAACGTGGCATCAGCCCTTGAAGTCACTAACTTCTTGTCTAAGCCATGCAGTCAGGTACAGACTTCTTAGTTGGGGTCCACGTCACTACTGTAACCAATGGTTGAATACTCTGGATGAAATGGCTAGGAATCGATCATGATGGCGTCGGTGTATACACTCTATGTCTTCCCTTAAACCGTGAGATTAAAATTGCTCTATTTCTACCAACTAATTCTTTCTTCCTGTGTTACATCCTTATACACGATCTTTCTTTTATATATTACCACCTATGAATTAACTACTTCTATGGATTTGGTGTTCATCTTGTTGTGCTAATGAGGTGTGGCAACTTGGATCGATGCATATATGTGCCTGGTCGTACGTTGTAGCTGACCGACTGATATCTTTCTTACATAATTTCTGTTTTGTCGATCGGTGGGTTATTGTTGAATTGTTGTGTATTGGTCAACGGGTTTATCTAGTTCGCATAGGGTAACTTTCCTTATTAAAAGGATCTCTCAATCGTTCTCATTCAGTAATACGGAATCGACTTTTCGTTCACAACAATAATACAAGTAAGATATTATCTTGTATAATAAAGATTAAGTATACAAAGTAACCTTGTATACACTCCCATCATTTATCACTTTTTTAGTTTAAATTTACACAGGTTAAACTTCAAACTAATCTTAACAATTTCGATAATGTAATAAGACAAAGATTATTCTTATTACATTATCAAAACTTATCAAAGGGACTAATCGCTTTAATCTCAACAAGTAGTTTTCTAGAAATATTACTTTCATATTTTACGATCTTGCCAACTATACGGGTGTCTAGGAGAGACAGACGATAATGTCATACAGTTAAAACATATAGTGACAGTATTACATTTACATATGAAGTCAAATTAGTTCTTTGTAGGTGTTAAGATTGTTAAAATTATAATACAAACACAAAATGGGACATTTTGTGTTGAATTCAAAGGTCGATCTAGTCTGGACCGTCACTGAAAACCTGGAAGCTCTGGACGGCTGTTCCATCCTAGAACGGGACGATTCAGCAGTGCGCATCCACGATCCCGCACGTATGACTCGAACCCAGGACTTTCGGTCTCGCGCGCGAACACTTATCCTCTAGACCAGTGAACCGGCATACAACGGTGTTAATATCATAGATTGACTCGTGAATTCAACTGTGGAAATACTACAATCTCCACAAATTACCATACTGATAATAATTATTGATTGAGTCATAATGGAAAGAACTAGAGATTTTTCTGGTAGAATTCTAAGCAAAAGTTAGAATCATGTGACATAACCTTAAATTGATTATAACGATACCATTGGTTTGAATTCATATCTCAGTCGATTTATTCTTATTCTCTATGTTATTGCATTTAGACAAATAAAAGGAAAAGTGTACTTTAAATTTTCTGATGATTTAATGACTTTTTTATTAAAGAAAACGCATATTACCTTTGCCTTTGAATTTAAAGAACGGCCAGCTTTCGTCAGTAAAGAACAGAAACCAGAACAGGCGGAGACCTTTTTATATTCTAAAGCTTTATATGTCTTACGTTCAGGATCTAAATAAAGATCTACAATGATATTAAATAATGGTTTTAATTTAAAATCAAGTAATGAAGAACGTTGGATGATACAGTTATTATTACTTTTCCTAAGATTACAATGAGTATAATAATAATAATAATAAGCTGAATACATCTGTTAACAATAAACCATTCACTTTATATGACTGTTTTCAAGACACTAATTGGGAAACTGTACATGTTTCTTACAGCATTTTCAGTAGGGATCGCAAGTTTTGATAGCGAGTATGTATCTAAACCTTTTCCAATGGGAATCGATTAATATTAAGTCATATGGTTAGTATGTAATAAGAAACACAGCAAGCCAACGGAGAAAATGATAATAATTTTTTTAGGAAATAATCTGCGACACATTGGTTGAGCATTAAACGTCTCGAAACTTTGAAGTAATTAATAGAGATACAGACAAATTACATTAACTCGACTTAAAAAAATATTCAAGAAAATACAATCATTGACCTTCAATATTATTATTATCAAATAAACGTAATTCCAGATATTCAAAGGTATTGAAAAACCAAATTGTCAGAGGCACTATTACTAGGAAAAAATCTCTGATTTTAACTTGTCAAAAGTAGATGGCACGAAACAGTGAACCTACGTCTCGTCCTAGTTAGGACTCATCAGCAAAAAGTACCTGCAATTTTGAGGGAACTTACGCTTCTATGTGATTTGGACGTTTCAGATCATGAAGCTGAGTGACTCAGGTTCGAACCTCACAAGAGTATAAATTCCTATAGGACTGCAAATAAGTATTGCTGACAAGCGCCAACTAGCATGAAACTTACCTCAAGCAAGGTTTCCTGTCAGCTACCTCAAAAAACCTAATATCAAAAAATAGTGCTCATGATGTTAATCACTTAGAGTAGTGCCTAAATTTCAACTAGATCGATGATAATCAACAAGCAATAGGGACTAAAGAAATATGACACCGGTCACAACTCAATGTTCAATCAATTTAACTATTCTTCCCTTTTGGTTGAGTGAACACCTCGATATGATGATGAACAGTAAATTATTATTGAAAACATAGACTGGTCTGCTACTGTATGTAATGAATTCCATAATTTCGTCACTAATTAGTTTCAAAAATGAATATCAAAAGATTATTATATCACAAATGTATGTCTATATAGTTATTTACCTCCATCAAAATAGTGTCCATCTACAAATTCTTTTACACCACCTTCATCGAATGTAATTCCCATTAATTTAATATTGCGTGCATCCAAAGCAGGTTTTAAATGACTCAAATTTTTAGCTTCTAGTCGGCAAAATTTACATCCCAAACGACGAAAGAATGTAATAATACATGTTTGATCCTTGATGTACGATAAATAAAAAGAATGACTTAACAAAAAAAAACAGATGGTGAAGCATACTCGTTACAAAAAAAATTGAGCAATAGCATAACAGCTTACACACTCGAATGTTGAACAATTCATTACAGATTCGAAGCTAGCTTTTAGCAACTATCTAGTATAACCAGATCTCATTTAAAAGTGTAGATAGAAGCAGAGTATATGTACCTGGGATTGGTTCAACATTTACAGAACACTATCTACAAATAATGACCTCAACGTTCAATGATTAAAGGATAATTGGTAAGAATTAGATTTGGGGTTTTCGCTCATTAACAAGCCAAAAATAGGCAGACAGGTGTAACCAACGTATTAAACAAGAGGAAAGTCAAATAAGTGGAAACAAAAATGTAAAACTAAGCAGGAAAAAGGAGGATCGACATAAATGAAACTGGGAAATCAAAATATGGTATGATACTGTTATAACTTGTGGCCTGAGTGCCCTTCTAATGTATACGTAATGATACCGCCAATTAGAGAGCAGTGAATTATCGATCGGAGCAGTGATGCATAAAACACGCACGAGCAGTCTAGAGTCCTGATTGGTCCTGCTTTCCGCCTAGCCCAGCCAGTTGAGTCCAGAACACCAATCTCAGGCTCTGCAATATGAAGCATTTATTTCAAACATACGGGGTTTATATACCAATCAAACAGACCACATCGTACCAACAAAATATCAAACATTTGTACAAGTATTAACCAGATGTGGCTGTGAATGAGGGAGGTAGTAATTAATAGACAGGGCATAATTCAAGAATGGTAGATCGTATAATAATAGTTCATAGGTCAAAATAAAGCTCATAATAAGAGGGGCATGAATGTGAACAGTTTAGTTATTTAACAATTATACGATAAAAATATACGCATATTATTGGTCCATAAATGGATCCCAAAAGCTACTTTTCATTATGCTTATCGGGACCTAACAAATACTATATTCAAGAGTTAAACAAAAATCACACATTCGAGCCACTCCAACCGATATTGATACATACTATCTGATGTCTTTGATCATCATAAGAGCACAATTAAGAGCCAAACAAGGTTTATGCTTGAACGGACTCCTCACACAAATTTTTATCATAATTATCTAACATTAACTAACTCAATAGTGACCAAATAGTTCAGCAACAACAGAAACTACAACAAGATCAGGAAGAAGAGTACATTGGCCAGTTATATGGTAACCCCATATTTATCTAGACCAGATTCTGAGACTATCCATATAACACAAAAATTCTCTTTTTCTATTATGATCATTAGTGGCCCTATGGATTTTCATCATGCTTACATCCTAACTTTATATATATATATCCGCGTTCTTGTGGATTTTACTAATTACTAACAATACATTATCCCAACAACTGGTGTTCTGCCTTCTGAGTATTCTCCGGTTAAATCACAGTATCAACTAGGAAAACTGACCTGCTAACATATTCACTGAAGGTGACATCGTCTATTGGAGTTAAATAGAGAAGAATTAGCCTTTACAACCATTCTACATTAAGATCAGTCCTATTACAACATCCAGCCAATAAATTCGATTGTGATAAGTTCAAAAGCAATCACATGGAGAGACGAAGTAGTGCCAAATGAGCTGTGGGATTAGTAAGATGCTAAGGATATGTTTTGAGAAATACAAAGTTAATCTCAGAAAAATCAAATTAAATATTCCTTAGAACGACTTCAAGAAGGTACTTCTTAGAACTGTCTATCATATTCTTAGGTTACCAGGACTTTAAAGAATAATCCCGTTCCCCGTGTCAGCTACATTTATTATAGGCTTTGTCTCGCTCACTTCAATTTATTTGACATATCGAATTAGTAATAACAATCTTAGCTTTAAAAATGTTGTCCCTAATCTCCTAGAACTGGAATTCGAAATGTTAAAAAGCCCAATGCTTAGATTCACCAAAGAGGCAGGATCGTAAAATAAGTCATCGCAGGAAAATACACAACAAAAATCCACTGAACAATGAAAAAGTCTAACTAGCTTCTACATACTCTTCAGTTGCTTTTCAGCATGCTGAAATGAGTGACTGAGACTGGAGATGGGTTACGAAGCAGAGCTGATAAACCAGTGGACGTGACTGTGCACTTTTGTCAACTAAGGTGGTCGCAACTGTAAAATATAAAGCCAGTTGCTGATGAAGTTAGTTGGCCGTTGGCCGATCTGTTGAAGAGTAGAGTCAAAATACTATAAATCACGTCTCCAGAGGTGGAAGCGTTCGAAAAATTAGGAAGTACTCAAAGTCCAAAAACTCTGCCTGTTCGTCTAAATACTCAATAACCATTATAACTTGTGACAAATGCATCAAATGTGGTTATTAGATCAGTCTTACAACAATACCTTAAGCGTAAGTGGATGCACTAATTAAGCACTATGTTTGAAAAGTCCCACATGTTTGAGTGTTTAGCAACAATTTTGTAAACTTCTTTTTTGTTTCCTTACTCAACACTGCTCAAAAAACGACCAATCAAGAGTTTAAAGGCATTTGAGGACCCCATTGATGTTTTAGACTATAAAATGTTTGGAACCAGGTCACCCAAAGTTTACCACTAAACAATTAGCAGCTTTACTCGATGATGTAGTTTTTAACTTCTTCGACAGACTTTCTCAAAGGTTGCTTTGAAATCTATTAGATATACTAGAAAGCTTTTTACCGAAGCCTTAAGACAGATATTTATAAAATGAGAAATACTACTTCGACACAAAGCATATTTCACATTGAGATGGGTTTTGAGGCTAAATTATTAGTGGCATATTTTTAGTCATGTACATACTAATCACGCTGGTTATACGAAGCATACTGGTCCACAAAGTTTCTCATGCTACACAAGAAAATAAAGCTGTTACATACTACATGCAAATTCCTTTGAGATAACGGAAAAAAAGAAGTAGAATACTCAGTGAATAGCAAACGTGTAGTTAGTATTGTGAAGGAGATTATTAAAGTGGGTGAAAATGCGGTAGAAGAAATTAAATTTAACATGACTAATATAGAAAGAAATTATGAGACTAGACAGTCCTGACAATATCAACAAAATATTAGTGATATCAAAAACGTTGACATCATCATGATTTCATAAACGTGAGTAATATTTGAAATGAATGATAATGCAGTACTTCTTATTAATCAGCGCTACTGTGTAACTAAGGGGTTTGTATCTTAAGCTTTGAGCTACACAATATGAGTAAAGGCTGATGATAATAATTGGTTGCTAAATCGAAATGGGCATATTATTATTTCTACCCAAGATCTGATGGTATTCTCTGATCACTTGATCGCTGATTTACATTAACAAAGTGTAATTCCTGAAAATATTAGAACTGTAGAACTGACAGATCAACTTGTAGATATGCTGTACGTAAATATCGATGATCATAAAGGCGATAGAGACAGTGCCACATGACAACTGATCGTAAACTCTTATTATAGTTCTTGTAATGTGCAGTATCATATATTGAAATAAAAATAGCATACCGAAGCCTAGAGTATGAAATTTAAAAATTCCTTTTATATGGACTGAAACGCTGATCAAATGAACTAGGGAGTTTTAGCGTGTAAGGGGCACTATCGCACCTTTTATTTATTGGAAATAGCTGATAACAGAGTCATCGACCAACTCGTTTGATCACAAACTGTTACAGCATATCGTTACCCTTGTCCAATACAGTAAAGGAAATGAGCAATCCGATATGCAGAGAGAACGTAGTGGCTACAGAAAGCCACCTTAGAGATCTTTTCAAATAAGCCGTTTCTGGGTATGGAATTAGTTTAAACAGGTACAGAAGTATACAGGATCATTTATTTAGAAATTAATTAAGATGAAATGCAAATTATTAGCCAAGCGCAGATTTATGTACTTGCTTTGGCACCACTTTGAGTGTGAGGGCTGGTGATACTAGTCGGAGGCGCAAATAGAAGGACGTGAGGTAGGGTTACAACCTGAATCCTAATAGTTAAAAGGTGTGTGCTTTAACGACTGAACTGTTCCCGAACCAACCTATATACTGATGTTAAATGTAAGTCAATGTATATTAGTGTATTTTTTATGACTGATGGGCTAAATAATAAACCGATCATTTTTACAAATGATATGATGAGGACTGCATAACAAAATCACCTACCTTTTAAAAGTTTTTTGCACACTATAAGCTTAGTAAGAGAAATTTGAATATGGTCTACAAACAACAGAAAACTAGCATATTATGTTTTCAAATAAATTGAGCATTGGATGGAGATTTGATAATAAAGATATGTTTTGTTATATCCTAATGAATAGAAAAATTGTAATTCTGACGCTTCGTGACTTAGTATATTAAATATTTCCTGTCCTTCAACTAATCAGTCAGTCATATACAACGTAGGACCTGTAACATATATGCACCGGTTCAAGTTGCCATATCGTATAGGGAAAGCGAGATACCAGAGTAGTATAAGTAATAACAGTATTACTGATAGTAGAAGAGAAAACATATACGACATATGAGTCGAGGATAGAATATGGATTCATGCAATAAAACGAAAATTTTCTCAGATAATTGAGAAACGTGAGATCCAAAGGAAGAGAGAATGACTACGTCTACACCACTGCGTACGATTCTTGCCAATGCAATTCAGGGTGTACAACCGTTAGTTACGATAATCATTCGGAAACCAACCAGGTAGTTTGTACACATTCATACATCTCAGTCCAAAAGTTAATAACTTCGTGGACTGATGGCTTGTTTTAGTTTGGCCGCCTCTAATTTTCTTCCAACACATGCATATATCAGCCATCATCGCCTTTCGAGGTAGGTAATAGTTGGACATACATAATATATGCTTCAGATACCTCGGTTGAAGATTCGCTGTCTTGTCAGCCGATTTGCCATCATTTACCTTGTACTTGGAGTTTAACCTCAGAATCGCCCACTCGATGATCCCAACATTCATGAGTAATGCTTCAAAGGGGTCTATGATTAAATAATAGTAACCTACGAAAGTTCTGAAGTGATAAAGCAAGAGGAAAGCGACTATTTGGCGGTATACAAACCTTTAAGTTGGAGAGCGAATGTCTCGACTAAGACACAATTGATGTAAGTTATTATTATTATTATTTTAACACAAAGATATTGGTACAATGAGGCACCAAATACATATGCGCCACACAAACCTCGTTCGAAATGTGTGTAGGCTGTGATACTGTCCGGGTGCCCAAACCGAAGCAGGTGGTTTTCTAAGGGGGCCACTCTCCGAGCCTTCGACCTGAAGGTCTGATCCACAAGGCAGTGGGGCATCGTAAGGAGATGCAGTCCCATGGAAGCCAGTGACCAACGATTGGTTCATACGCCATTTGTTCCCTCAGGATACTGGAGCCCATGTGCACCATTGGTTTGGAATCCGGTTAAAGCGCCGGACATTCGCTTTTCGTCCTCTCATTTTCGTAAACAACACCCCCGCCACGAGAAGGCAGTGAGTAGGACTTCCCTAGCAGACACTATATACGTGTGGCCATGTGAGAGCATTTCGAGAGGGAGAGCGGACTCTCCCCACTCTCGGCCATACCAGGGCATTTGGGGGCTAGTGATGTAAGTTGGCAAAAGACAATCGAGATTTTTAAATCCGTACCGATATGTTATCGGGTCGACCACCACCCACTAGAGGTAATGTGACTTTCAAGTGGAATGATCAATATGCCCAACTACTTTAACCCTTATTAGTTCAGGCGAAGACACAAATCCGTTTTCAAGCTAAATGTTGTATCTAGAGGGAGAGAGACGCATCCGAAACATGCTTGGTTTGCTGCTCAAAGATTTTAGAAAACCTGGATTATTTCACCTTCCTCAACAAAGATGAATGTGCTCTTTAAACTCACTTCAACAAGACTTAATTGATTAGTGACATAGTTGATATCTACTAGAACTTTAATATATCTTTGTGCCAACAGAGGTGATAACACTCCAAGTTGGCAGAACGTTTCTGTCGCTATTCAAAAAGTACAGTGGCATTTTTCCTCTGAGTATATTTTATAGTAGTGATCGTTATATTACGCACCAAGGCTACTGATTATGCTTTAATTGTATTTATTTCAGTTAGAGTAATCCCCAAGAGTACCGCTTTTTTCTAGAGAAGTTTATCATCTGCACTTTTCGAGTACAGACACAAAAAACTAAGGGCACTGGTATTTATTTTTCCTCGTTGAGTACATCCTTTAGTATTGTTTGTATCCATAGGTGTTAAGGTCTTTTTCTAACTACTGAAATAGGGGTTTTTGTTGTTGTTATGTACAGTTATATACAAACCTGTTTTTGTTTGTGTTCAGTGTATATCACCTATCAATCGTTAAAAGACACTTATCTAGAGATCAGTTTTCACTGTGAGATCACAAAAAACATTTTTGGCGCAAGTAAAACATCATTGCTATTTCCCGGTCGATTAGGGGATCGAATGTGATAACAGCAATAAACGATATCATAATGTGTGCACCGGACTCACACCGGTTGCATATAAACGGTGCTGCAAGCCATTATCACGTTGGTTGTGTAAAGAATGTTGTTCTACTAAGTCTCTGCTGATTCTAGAGGCGATCGAGCTGCTAAACATAGCTAAAAAGTTACCCTCAGATAAAGACAGCAGTAGATGAGTGGAATTCCGCTTTCGAGGAAATAGAGAGTGCTATCATGAGCCCAGCTCTGGATTTGAACAAGATCATAAAGGTGGACCCCCCCGTGAGGATCTCAGCCCGGTTAACCGCATCAAGAGACGAGCTGTATAAGTAGAAATAAATGAGCGCTGCCGTAACGGTGAAAGAAATTTCATTCTTAAGGGTTCTCAAATTGTAAAAGTTCGGAGCAAAGCAATCCCCAAACCACTCTGGGTGGTAAAGGAAAGTTCTCCACAGAATTAAAGGTGTGCTACACAAATGCTCTCAGACTACCAAGTAAAATGGAGGAGCTCAAGACAATGATGGATATAGAAAAACTGGATGTTATTGTTGTCTCAGAAACATGGTTAACAACAGAATTGTTTGATAATGAAATTCAATTGACAGTTTTTTTATCCAGTAGGGCTGATAGATTAAACCGTAGGGGAGGCGGGGTTCTCCTGTACACGAAAAGTACCTTAGCCATACGAGCTGTTGAGACAGTGGCACATGATTCAGGGACATGTGAACTGGTGCGTTTCAGGCTGAAATATAGACGGCAAGATATTGAGTTAGTTGTAGTATATCGCAGTTCATAATGTGTAGTAGATGACTTCCTCCTAAGCAAACTTAAATCCTGGTGTAATAGGGGTAAAAGCCTTATAGTAAACGACTTTAATGCACCGCATATAAACTGGGTAAACTTAGAAGTATGGTCATCAACAACGTCATTCTATTGCAAACTGTTATAAACCTCAATTGCACTAGCTTTATTCCAGCACATTAGAGATCTCACTAGATGACTTACAAAGCTTCACGTCTTTCCTGGATTAAGTCTTTATACACGGTGATGAAGTCGGTCAAATGATTTTCCTCCCACCACTAGGGAGAAGTGACCATTCAGTCATATTATTCAAATTCATGTCTGAGATTGCCTGTCAGACAGTTGCGCCAGCCCGTCCTAATATATGGAAGGCAGATATGGAGGCAATCAACTCCACAGCATCGGCTGAAAACTGGGAAATTGACTCAAGGGCATCAGTACAAAAGGCATAGACTCATTTCAGGAGGCTATAAGATCGGGTAACTCAACCATACATACCCTGGACAGAAAAGGTTTATCTTGCACAACAAACCTTCTTATAGCAAGGGAGTAATGGATAAAAACTCTAGACAACGGAAAAAGACTGGATGTTGTCTACATAGACTTCAGCAAAGCATTTGACAAGATGCCAACAAACAGACTGCTATTAAAGCTAGAAAACCTTGGTATTGCTGGACCGCTGCTAAAATGCATTAAGGATTTCCTAGTAAGTCGTAGACAAAAAGTAAGAATAAATTCCAAGTGCTCTACCTGGAGATCAGTACTTAGTGGAGTACCGCAAGGTTCTGTCCTAGGTTTCTTACATTTCATACTGTATGTAAACGACCTCCCAAGTTTAGTACAGTCTCCAATGTTATTATACGCTGACGATGTAAAAATTTGGCAAGAAATAACGGGGGACGCAGATGCATGCACACTTCAGGCAGACTTAAATGTTTCTATTAACTGGTCTAAAGAGTGGCTGACACCTATTAACGCGGCAAAGTATATCTAAATGCACCTCAGGAAAACAAAAGTAAACAGGTACAGCATAGGGGAAGTGCCTGTACCCGTGATCCGGTCTTACAAGGATCTTGGGGTGACAATGAGTCATGATATCAAGACTACGGCCCATTGCCTGGAGGTCGCAGCTAAGGGGTTTAGAACCCTATGAGCTTTAAGACGGACATTCACCCGTTTACATGCTACCATGTTCACTACAGTATACACAACCTTAGTGAGAACTAAGCTTGAAAACTGCGTTCAGGCTGCAAGCCCCATTGAAAAGGCGACTCGGATATCCTGGAAAAAGTACAGAGGGCAGCTACCCGTGCAATTCCAGAACTCTGGGGTCTACCATACAAGGAGCTACTTGAAAAGCTAGACCTCTTTACTCCGTCCTATGACAGATCAGATCACAGGTGATCTGATTTTGATGTACAGAATACTAAGAAATGATTCGACGAGTTGTTTCGAATTTTACATCCCACCTATGTAAGACCACGATTAGAGTACTGTATCCAAGCAGCTAACCCATATCTGATAAAGGATACTAACTCACTTGAGCGTGTTAAGCGTGTGGGAACGAAATTAGTGAAGGGTCTTTCTAAACTCCATTACGATGTGCGCTTAAAACACCTAAACCTTTTCAACTTGTCGTATCGTAGGAAGCGAGGTGATCTTATACTAGCATTTCGTATCTTTAATTATGATTTGGGTGTTAATATGTCTTATCTTTTTGCTCCCTCCAGCACTAATAATCTCCGAGGTCATAGAAAAAAGGTTCACAAACCGCGATATAATAAACTTGAAGAGGGGTTCCGTTTCTCTCATCAAGTAGTCAGTGACTGGAACGCCTTACCCGAACAAGTGGTATCAGCCCCATCAGCGAATATTTTCAAGGAGAAACTGGACCTTCACTGGACGGCAATCTGTCAAGATTCAACAACCTACTGTACTTATAACTGAAGTCTGATACTAAGTTCCAGTAAAGGCTTACGGCAAAGTCAGTTGTATAAATAAAGTCTATCGATGATAAACAAAAAGGCTCTAGTATCGATCCGTTTTACTCAAAACAGAATATGACCAGTAGGATTTAAATGTTCATAAACATTATTTGTAGATTAAAAACCACGTTTAATAACTTACTCGCCAGAATGAGTCCAAAGTACATGTTTGCGAGCCCAAAGCAGAATGTACAATGCACGTACCAACCTTCGCGAGCAAAGGAGATGCCATTGCGGATCACGTAATAGTTTATAGATTGCCACCAATCAATAGCTCATATTGAAAACAAAGATATAAAATTGACCGCGGTTGTCCTTCTCAAGGTCAAGTTAACTACCAATCAAATTTTGGCTCAGCCTCGTTTCAATTGGTACATTTCAACATCAGGTAATCAACCAATAAGTTTAGTTGAAAGACCCTACAAGAGCTTGAGGTTCAAGCTTTCAGGAATGGTTTGTTTTACCAAAACACAGTTTTTTGGAAGTAAAAGTGAAAATCCTTTGAATGAGCACAATCGGATCCTTATCAGGCTTTAATATACAAGAATATCTATACCCATATATGAAATTGTTAAACCAGTAAAAACAGCTTACGAGTCAGCCAGTTTCCCAATCAACCAACAAAGGGAAAATAAAGGGGACGAATGCGTAAATAAAGGGGAAATATCGCTTTTTCGCCTTCACGTTGGTTATTTAGAGAAAATATCAATTTTTCCACCTTACGTCGTGTGTTTGGGGGAAATTTGTCGACACTTATACGTAACGTACGGTGTTTAAATATTTCACATCCCGTACTTATGTTTTCATAACCGTCGACAAAATAACGCATCGTTTAATAAAAAACAAAACTATTGTCATAAACACAAGTAACAAAATAGGGACGCAGGGATTTGGCTGAGACGCATAT